ATTCGATTTTCAGACTGCTTGAACTGTCGAACTGATTTCAGAACTTGAGCTTCTGATTGTCGGATTACAGTCTGGCCTGTTGGAAAATCTGATGGAGTATGATATGAGATGCGTTGCACGTACCAGGAGAGTTCCACTGCAATTCTGAATTGTTGAGACAAACTCTGTTTGCGAAATGTCAAGGTTCGATTCCCGTAAGAAGTCTGCTGAAGCCAAAATGCCATGTAGTGGACTTCTAAATTCATCTTTGCTTATCATTAGCGCTTTTAATTGAATACTTGCAGTGGCCAATACTTACGAGAAATGCTACTAATAAAATCAGATTTCATCTTGTTAGAAATCAGGGCATCTAATCGACTAATTTCCATCATGACCGAGTTTGTAAATGCAGACAGGTAAGATATCTCATTATTTACAGTAAAAACAGGAACTGCTGATTGACTCCATACAAATAGGCCCGAGTACCATCTCTCTGTAGTAAATTGATTAGCCGAGAATAGAAGGGGGCTATTATGACGTGATAAAAGCATAACATACCGCCAGCAGAATCCCAAAGAGGGAGAAATATGATTTGCCTTGCTTTATGAAATACCTTGCCAAGCATAGTTGCTTCCGCTTCTTGTTTCGTAGCATCGAAAGAGCCAGATGTTCTAGGCCTTTCAGTAGGACTGGTATCGGTTGTGGGCGCACATTTTCGATCCTTAACTTGTTCCAGGCTCGAGAAATAGCCATTGTCATCAATGTACCTTTATTAGGGTCAGTTAAATGGTCCTATCGAGATCGCGCGTAGTCCAAGCCATACCAGACATTCCCCTTAGGGTAAGAATTCATTAGCGACCGAAGGGTTTTCCCATCCAGGACATGAGCTTCTGAGTCCCAGGTTGCAACCTTTGCCGCCGACATAGAAAGGACCTTTGCCACTTTATGTTTATCCGTGGAAGTTCGTATGGTGCCTTGAGATAATTTCCTTCGGTACTCTTCATACTTTGGTCTTTCATCATTTTGTACGGGTGATCTCCTCAATTCAGCCTCCTTCACCTCTGTACCTAGATCAGTGCTTGTATCCATGTAAGCATCGGTATTTCCCACTTCGGTATGACCATTAGTTGTGTCTAAGAAGACAACGCCTCCAACGTTAAGTTCCAGCGATTCCCGGAGAATTTCGGCCGCATGATCTAAAGTAATCCGTATCTGATCAAGTACAGATTCGGAAGACTGGTGTGGTTGATTTGATGTGTTAGAATGTCCATCCTGAGAGAGGTCTGTTCTGGTATCATCATCGAATTGAGTACCGGATCCATTAGTCGTATTTGAAACTGATTCAGTTGAGGAGTATGGGCTGTCAGAGATAATGTTAGTGTAGCGAGAAGTTATTTCTATGAAGGTAGCAATTCCTTTCGACATGAGCGCAACTCGATGTCTTTCGATAGCCTCTCGTTGCGTTTCCATGTACTTCATGATATTGTTCGCTTGATGATATAAAACTGGATGTTGGGTTAGTATCAACACAGATCTTAGTGAGGTAAGTTGTCGCTCAAACCTACATCTTCTTCTCTCTAAATTAAACCCGGTGGTAGGGCGATCACCGAAGACACATAAAACACCAATGTTGATACCATTTTTGGTAGTAATTGGAGCCCCAGCATACCAAACGTATGAAGCTAAAGAACCATCAACTATGGATAAACTAGCAAATCTTGGGTCTTTCTTTAAATCATCGATAATAAAACAAGGATAAGGATCATTTTCGTCATTATTAATGGCCAAGGTATTCTGAAGTACTCGGTCAGTATATGTTTAGGATTGTGGTTGGTTTGTCCTGACTTCACAAAGTCCACCTGGTGTTGGCACTTGAAAACAACCAAACCATGAATCATTGACGATATCCTCCTCGGGTAGAGATTTATCGCGCCGTGCTCCTGCAATGAAGTATTGAGTAGAGCCATCAATGATACTAGTATGTGTTAGTTTTATCGGCTAGTCAATGAGTTGAAGTTCCTCATACCTGATCATAGAATGAACGCCCCCTAAACGCCATATAGCAACCTCGGCATAATTGTCGAGGGCTCCATCAGAATTGAGTCGACCATTTAGAGTATCCTCAGAAGAGTGAGGATTTATATCAGCTTGATAAGGATCATAAAATCTACAAGAAAAGGATGAAGAAGTTAGTCAAGAAATCACGAGTATTCGCTTTCATGATGCACGTGAGACACGGCCGAATAAAGATAAGATTGGCATCAACGCAGAGAAACGCAAGAAATGGGTAACACCTTTAAGCCAATTGAAAAAAGACCAGACTTACTTTCTCAGTTCAAGTGCACGCTGCGAAGCATACATGTCTTTGGTTTTTTGTGTTAATACTGAGGTTTCCTCAATAGCCCCAAGGAAATCCCCATTGGAGCAAAAATTCATGGATTCCATGTGGCGACGGATAGGTATCAGTGTCAAGAAGAATATCCAAAGACTTTCTCATTCCTGAGGAAACAAACAAATTTTGCTTCAATATTAGTATTACCAACGAGATAGGGGAAGAAGAATATCTTGCTGAGGCAAAAACGAATTAACGTCAATTGAGAAATCGAATTAAGAAAAAAACATTCAGGGTTTTGATAAAACAAGCTTGAACCTTAGAAATTGGGTTTATGGCATTACTTCGTAGAACAGTCCAGTCTTTTGTGGCTTGCTTTACCCTTGGACGAGGCTGAGATTTTGATTCATGTGGCTAACTGGGTCGACGTCATTTAATGCATGGATGAAAAGTCGATAAGTTTACTAATTGACCTACCTACCTAGGTATGGTATACGGTATATGATATGTAGGTACGAGAATATAAGGGTACACAACGAGCCAAAAGCTCTTTTATCTGATAGACCAAAAGTATTGTGTGGACAAGTCATCATCTTATTGGTAAGCGTAACCTTAATCAAGCAGATTCATTAAGTCTACCTAGATAAACTTCGTGCATCACGATGAAGCATTCCAATTTGGACAGATTTTTACGAGACTATTCCATATGCATTTCGGGTATTTTAATCTCGAGTCATGTTGGGGCTGACATATCAGAATGCTTTGGCTTTCAGCGATGGATTAATTAGTACTAGGCGCCGCGCCGGCCTGTGAAAATGGGTAGACCTCGGTGGGATAAGGCTGGACCACATATCCCCAAGGAAAGCACGGGGTAACTGGGGCCGGCAAATGAGGAAGATTGGTGTAGGTATTAAAATAGATACTATTGACATTCTGATCCTCAATGTGGAAGATACGGCAGGGCTTGCCGGGGAGGAAGTCTCAGAATCTACTTTCAATATATCACTGACAGCGTACCCAAGAGAACTTTCCCAGCAGATTTGTCGGAATTCTATATATATATAATCTCTTAGCCTGAGAGATGGTGATGCTGTGTATGGAAAGAATCACACACTTAACTCGAAATATGTAATCAATTGGGTTTCTAAGTTTCAAAGAGATGGTACCTTTGTTAGTATGCAAGGCGGTTCGTATATCGTGTGATAGTTTCTGGCTTTTTTTTGTGTTCCTATACGGTATATTGAGAGGTGATCGTGAAAGACGATCGACCGAAGTTGGGAGATTGCTCCAAGCCGAAGAAATCGAGTTGGTTCCCTTTATATCTTCTTTTCTTGAAATTTTTGGTTAGTAAATAGCATATTCATTCCGGGAATAGAGGATCCTTTGTTATTCAATCAACACTTTCGATCCATTCTTCTCGATCCACTTTCCCCGTATCTCCCAACTGAATCTTTAAATTTTGACTTCGGTTATTCACAGTTCACATGTCCTCGTTATTTCAACATATGCTCAACGAATGTGTTTAGCAATTTCCAACATCATTTCGCGGATAGATTCCATTCTCTCCTATTCAATATAGTGAGATCCCCTATTTTCCAGATTCAAACCGATGGAATCCGAAATCTGATATTGATTGAGCCACGGAAAAGCACAATATCGACAAATCAATCATTGCACACTTGCACAATGAATTTTGAAAACATAGGGCGCTTGTCCTCGTCGCTGCTTCTCAATACATTTCCTGTTGTATGAAAGTGAGTTGTCAAAGTTTTGCATCCTCACAGGAGAATAGAGAATTCATATCATATCCATACATGGAGCGTGCGCAGTACTTGTTGAGAATGAGGGGATCAGTCCCAAGGATAAAATTTAACCCATATGTACAACGACTTTCCATCAATTCATTCTTCAGTGGTGTCCATCGCCATGGCCCTCTGCATGCCCATGATGTTCGTCCGCCAAAAAGAAGTATTCGTATCCGCAATATGCTGCAAAAGCTACCGTCGCAATGCCTAATCCAGGGAAGGTGTTCGAAAATCGATTCCGCCTTGAGTATTGTCCTTGATATCTCCAAGCTTCACTAATAAAACCTATCAGTATGGTGTTTCCGAAAGTTAAGGCTATGTGCTTCCGAGCTCACCGTCGTGCCCATGGGTCGCCTGCATTTTTACCAGAAGCGGCAGCTAATGCTTTTGGGTCGAAACCAGTAAGATTTGCACGTTGTGCAGCTCTAAGAATTCTACTCAAAAAAGTCAGCGACTGGAGGACAAAAGTTACCATTATCCATATTCAGTAAAACACATACCTTGTGCACTGCATTGTGAGAATTACAACTTTCACCTAATGACTTATGGTCAAGTGGTTAGCAATGTATTGAATATGGATGTCTAGCTCGGGTATAGTTCGGGTACGATTAGGGCGTCTAACATTAAGCGCCATCCTTAGCTACAGTTCATGCTTAATCAAAGCAGCCAGCTTGAACTTTAAGAAACACAAGCCTTGGTGTCGAGACTTTTTGAATTTTAAAGCAACTAATAATTTACAAAGTGATAATTATCTTGTTTTCTTGTCCAGAACTGTTGTTGCTTTGAACTGCGAAAAAGAAACTCTTCCCTCCTTGCGCAATTTGCGTCCATGAAAACCATCAACCCACCTACTATACCCAACATAAATACTCGACGAAAACAAAATGCCGCCACGAATGCAAGCCTACGGGGCTGCCCCAAATAGTATGGCATCTCATTATCAACAATATCCGCCTCATACACAACCACATACTGCGGGACTTCCTCCACCTGGCTCGATCGGAAATCAATTTATGAGTGCGAACTCCATGAGCAATGCATTCGCAAATGGAGCTAGTATGGGTATACCAGGAGGATTTTCTGCACCTGGTATCCCATTGCAAGGCGGTGGATTAGCAAGTCAAGCGGCACAAATGAGCTTCGCTGCAGCACCGTTGCAACAACAAGGGCACAACGGGATGGCAGATTCAGGGACGCGGGGTATACGTGATAAGGGTAGAATACGAGATGTTTGGAAGGGGAATTTACATGAGGAGATGGCAATTCTGCGGCAACTAGTGGACAAATACCCTTATATTTCTATGGTAAGATACTCCATTGGTGATTGTTGACGCCGGAGTTAACATTGCTAGGACGCGAAATTTCCTGGAATCGTTGCTCGACCTATGGGATCATTCAATGGCAAAGGAGATTATCACTATCAATGCTTACGATGCAACGTAGATTTACTGAAACTTATACAACTGGGCATAACATTATATTCGGAGGATGGAGAATCATTACCTGCGACTCCTCCCTCGGACTCGGGACTAGATCGGAACTCAGCAGGACGAAGAATTGGCAACGGCATGGGACAGATACCTTGTACATGGCAGTTCAACTTTAAATTCTCTCTATCGGATGATATGTATGCAGAAAAGGGCATTGACGAAAGGAAGATTGCCGGTACGGATTTCAACAGATTAAAGGAAGAAGGCATCGATCCATTTGAGTTTGGTGCGGTATTGATTAGTTCCGGACTTGTATGTGATGAGGAGAAACGTTGGATCTCAGGGCACGCCGGCTACGATTTTGGATATCTTACAAAGATTCTACTTCAAAGACCCTTACCGGATGACGAAAGAGAATTCGATATGCTCATGAAAAAGTTCTTTCCAAGTGTATATGATATCAAATATCTCATGCAACAAGGAACAATTATGAACAAATTGGGCCAGCTTTCTCATGTCGACGCTGTCACCGCAGAGCTCCTTCAACGCACCGAGCGACATCCCAACATTGAAACTATGATCGACGTCCTCAAAGTTAAACGCGTAGGTGCTGCTCATCAAGCTGGTTCCGATTCCCTCGTCAACGGCCGGGTCTTTTTCAAGCTCCGCGAACGTCTATTCGACGGCGAGATTGGAGACGAACATTTAGGCCGTGTCTTCGGTATCAATCTCCAAGAAGCTAATACAGTCGCTACCCAACAAACCACCCCGCAACATTACAATCAATACCAAGAAAATACTACTCCGAATCAAAATGGTTCAGGATCGTCGTTTGCAAATGGCGCACCTAGTACTCCGAATAATGGAAATGCCAACCTAGCAACTACACCTGCGCATAATAATAATGGAGGAAATGGTTTAGGTCCGCTAACGCCAAGTAATGGTGGAGGTGCATTCGGACATTTCCAATACGCAAATAAGCAGTAAAGAAGAGTTTAGTAAAACTCGGCATATTCTAGCTATTGGCGGGAAGAATTATAAAAACATACATTTCCTAGGTTTCCTTGGCATTTGAAGGGGCTGAAGGACGGAGTTCATGAGGGGTAGGGCTTGGGCGCGTTATTTGGCTGAACCGAACTGTTTGTTTAAATGAACGCAACTGCATCTGCAAATCTCCTGAAAGGATGAGTTGTAGGGCACTTACTTTTACCTTTGTGAATCAATATTGGTGAATTCTGGAGCGTCGGGTTTGATGAGGAAGGGAATTTGTACAGTATGAAATTGACTGATACCTTGTTTGCTTTGGTATGTGGATCTGTGTATCCGAAGTGCTCGTGATGTCTGTGTTTGTGATCTTGGATGTAGTATTCGATGTAGTTTGCTTGGGTATCAATTCTTTATTTGCTTTGTAAAACATGTGTTCATGTAGCATCCCTTCACATCTTCCATAGTGGCCTCTTGGTTTCAAACAACTAATCCACTAACTCCTATTGCCCCTTCCTCTCCCCCTTCCCCCCCTCTTTCCATTCCTACCCATCCTACCTCCACCCCTCTTATTCCCCTCAATTCCCACCACATCCCTCTCACTAAGTTTCAACGTCGCACCCCTCATCCTCCCAACCCCGGGACCAGAATCAAAAGTCCCTCCCGTCCCGCTCCTCTCCTTCCTTCTTTCCCTTCCCCCGCTAATCCCCCTCCTCTTCCTTTCGTCTCAAGCACAATCCCATTCTCCTTGGCCTCCCTCCTTCGCTTCTCCTCCTTCTCCTCCGCTTTCCTTATGATCCCCTTTCGCATATTCATCGGCATGCTTTCTTGTGTATGTATACTAGTCTTCCCCCCCAATGCTTGGACACGCATATCTAGTGCTTTTAATCGATTCTTTCCTTGTAAAGTATGGACGGCATGGGAGTTGGCCGCTGAGGAAGAGGAGGAGGATGTCAAGAGATGTGATTCATCGAGGAGTCGTTGGAGCGCGAGATCGTTTTTGAGATTGAGTGCTTCGGTTGCGCCTGGGTCGTCTGCGGAGCCGGCTGGTAGCTCGGTAAGTTTGGAGAGAGAGGGGGTAGGGCGTGATTTGGGAATTTTGGAGGACTAGATAAAGTGTGTTAGATTTTTGGAGATAAATGAAGGATAGTAGAGGCATAATAATGGATGTGCATACCATGAAAGCCCTCAATTCCCCTTTACTCATCCCTGCGATCCGGGAATCGATTTTCTTAACATGCTCGACTACTTGTACGCCGTTTTCTTCCTGCTCGTCGTCTTCGGCGGAGTTGTCTGATAAGCCATCCCAATCCTCGTCTTCATTTTCGGGATTCTCGATTATTGGATTGATTTTAGGCTTTTTGGTTGTAGGAGGAAGCGGTTTGAACTGTGCTTCGAAATGACGACGGAATATTTCTTGGGGGTCGAGAATTTCAGTATCATCTTCCACCTCATCTTCGTCGTCCTCTGGAGAGCTATCTGAAGCTTCTTCTTCTGATTGGGGTTCAGATACTGGTTCTGGTATAATTGGGGTAGTTTTAGGTACTTTTGAAAGTTTTGAACTGGTAGGATTAGTCGCAGATGAGCGCTTTCGTTTTCCGAGCGAGGCAGGCATCGTGAAGATTGTTTGTCTGGGATTTGGTAATTTTCGCAAACTTGATGTTTGTAGCTTCCCCAGAATATTAAATGTTCTGGATAAGAAAAAATTATGGCGATGTGCCGGGATTCTGCCGAGATGATTTTGGTAGAAGTCGAAACGCGATTTTAGTTACACAGGCAGAAGGTCAACAACACATCTCGGAATTAGTTGATTCTTTCTTTACTTCCTCCTAGGATTATTCGACATAGAAACTTGGCCGTCAATATCTTCACACAGCAAGGTATTAAGTCGAGAAACTTCCCATAATGACTAAATTTCGTCCCTGTATAGACTTGCATTCAGGTCAGGTGAAGCAGATTGTAGGCGGTACATTAACAACTGCTTCGTCTGACTTAAAGACCAACTATGTATCGAAATTACCAGCTGGCCATTTCGCAAAATTGTACAAGGACAATGATCTTACGGGTGCTCATGTCATTATGCTTGGACCTGGCAACGAGGAGGCTGCAAAACAAGCTGTAGGAGAGTGGAAAAATGGCCTTCAGGTTGGAGGTGGTATCACGGATGAGAATGCTAAGCAATGGATTGAATGGGGTGCTGAGAGGGTATGTTTATATCGTGTTGCTATTGGTGGGAAGATCGATATTGATTGGAATGGTAGGTCATCATTACTTCTTTCCTATTTCCTAATGGGAAGTTCTCCCAAGAACGACTAGATTCCGTACTGGAATCTCTTGGTGGTGATAAGGAAAAACTTGTCATTGATCTGAGTTGTCGAAGGAGAGATGATACTTGGTTTGTGGCTATGAATAAATGGCAAACCATTACAGATATGGAGGTGAATGAGGGTGAGTATTTCATTTTTTTCCTCTCTTCATCATTGAAAACTCATATATCTTTTAGCATCTATCAAATCCTTAGAGCCATATTGCTCCGAGTTCTTAATCCACGCAGCCGACAATGAGGGGTTGCAAAAAGGTATCGATGAACAACTCGTCGAGAAACTAGCACAATGGTGTAGTATCCCGGTCACCTATGCTGGTGGCGGAAGAAACCTTCAAGATCTTGATAATGTCAAGAGACTTAGTGATGGAAAGGTTGATCTTACAATCGGAAGTGCTCTGGATGTCTTCGGAGGTTCCGGGGTCACATTTGATGAATGTGTACAATGGAATCAGAAGCAAGTTGCTTCGTCATAATATGCATAAATGCAGATGCAAATTCAAATGCAAATGCAAAATGGGGTGTCTCAATATCTTTTTACTATTGTGTCCCGAGTACAAGCTGGAGATATCGTCAGATTCGTCACCCATTCTTGCATGTGTGGATGGTCTTTCGCTTCTCCTTCCTAAATTTGTGATCTACTAAAACTTCGTGATGTTTACCACTTTTGACCCGTTATATTGCATCGTCTTCCACTTGATTCTCTGCATAATTGACCCAGAACGTTCGCCTATTCGACTTAATCTTGCTAACTGCATTTCTTACGTTTGGTTCATTCAAAGAACTTTTTTTGCTGCATGAGGTGTGTGGGGAATCACACCGCGATTCTTCAATATCATTTGGCGGCCTTAGGAGTGAACCACGGAACGTACAGCATTTGGCCCCACCACCAGCAGATGCCCAGCTTATCGAATTCGTTCTTCGTAGGATAACCCGCCCCCTCCCAGCCCTTCCCTTCCAACTTTCCCTCCAACTTTCCAGCTTACTGCTTCTCTCTTCCAATAAACCGCCAAGTTCTACACATCGCGGGTGTGAGAAATAATGAGGCTCCAATCGTCGATGGTCGGATTCAGCTCGAGGCCTGAGAAGAACCCGTTAGCACCCTTACCACCTTTGATATGCATCGGAGTATGTCGAAAAATCTGTTGGCCCGGCGGTTGCGAAAGAATCTGGTCGATCGTATCCACCGCCTCGTTTTTAACCACGAATGAGATGAAACACGTGGCATCGCAACAGTAGGTACATGAAACCTTGAAACTTTACCTAGAGAAGTGAAGTGTTTCTTTATCGCCCAATACACCCTCATATCGTTTGCTGCTTTGTTGTCGGGTCGGCTTGGTGACCAAGTTTTTTTTGTGATGACTCTATGACTGACTGTACCGTTCGTACCTGCATTATTTTTATACATGTACTTTGGGTTCCGCTGGCTTATTCTTCTCTTCACAACCCACCCCCATCCATCATCATTCTGCGATTCATTTCGTAGATAACTTATTTATCTTCCAACTTTTCAAGTCATTTAGTTGCTTCTTGAATTTTTTCTTTCTTTTTTTCTACACCGGTTTTTCCACATATCTAGTTTCGGTCACAGCTTCCATATTTGATTCAACCCTCGCACACAACACCAAACCAATTGTGGGAGCATCGTTGTTGATCTTGTCTAGACTTTTTCCATTTTATTATTAAATATTTCAATCTTTAAATAAAAATATCACAACACTCTTTTTCGTACAGTATATCAATTCACCATGTCAGAATCTGGATATTTTAACATGGTCGAACCCACCTCATCAGCTCCCGAATATGACCTCATGGAAGATTCTGGGGTTGTTTTCGAGGATGAAGATAACTTCCCAGAGGAAACTCCTGGAGAACGTCTCGGCGCTATCTTCGAAGATGACGAAAACACTCATGATGAGACTGGAATAGTCTTCGAAGAGGAAGAGACCACTCCAGAAGAAACGCTAGAAGACCGCCTTGCAGTGAAGAAATTAGATCTCAAGAAGTGTGCTGAAGACATGGTTTCTGAGCATTCGGAAGCTGTGGCTCTTGCTGCATTGGCAAAGAAAATCGAATCGGGACTCAAGGAAGTCAATTCCAAGTTACTAGAGAAGAATGAAATTGTTCAATACTTCATTAAGAGAAATGGACAATTGTCAACTGAGATTCGGGAAGAAGAGACAAACATCAAATTCTTCAATCTGGAGTCATCGCTTGGTATGAAGACACTAGAATGCGAGCAGCTTTCTGAGGAGAATCAAAAATTGGCAGAGAAAGTCAGACTTTACGAAGAAGCGGTGAACCACAAAGGCAAAATCGACGTTGGTGCCTTGCTAGTCGAAAATTCTGAATTGAAGCGCAAGCTGGAAAATACAAGTCACCCAGATTTCGACTATGGTGCACCTCCACACGAAGAACTTCAAAGTGAAACTACCTTTGTCAATCCCGAAGGCCAAGTTTCAGAGTGGAAAGAAAATCCCAAGATTCAAGAATACATCGCCGAAACTGTTCGCTCTGCTCTTAGCCAACAGCGAAAATCGATGAAGCATCTTTTCTTTGTCGGTCAACGCGTCCGTAACCGTTTCCTCGAAAGAAACTCTGCATACGATCCCAAAGCCAAGGAACGCAACGCCATCTACGAACTGGGTAATTCAAGTGTCTATAATGGACGGCCTATTACCGATGCCACTCTCTTCTCTCATGTCCCGGGTATTGCATTCGAGAAACGTACCGATGAGGAAACGTTCAAGGAGTTGTACTGGGCAAGCTGGCAAACCGTCCTTCGTCTCCAAGATTGCGCCGAATTTATTGAAATGCTCCGCTGGCATTCATCTGTCAAGGCCTGGCGCAAATCAGACTACATGGAAACCCAATTCTTCAAAACCTGGACCAAGAACATCGACACAACATTCGAGGACATGGATCTCGACGCCGTGCGCGAATATTGCGGAAACATTACCCGTAAGAAGCTCAAGGCATGTTATCTCGATGAGAAACGAAGAAACATGAAGGTTAGACGAAGCGTGGGATTGGGATCAGGCAATGGTAAGTCTGATTATCTTCCTTGTGCTTGTGATTGTGGAGAACAGCTTCAGGTTCCACTTGAAACTATTGTTGCGAAAGTAGCAAAGTCCACTCGGGTATCGAGATTGCCGTTCGGCAGAAGAGATACTGTATCATAAATTATTTTTAAAGATGTCATATTATATACTGAATGTGCGAAAAGTGGGTGTGTTTTTTGGAAACGGGATGGAATCTTTTGAAGGCGGGATGGAAGGAGGCATCGTGAAGAGTGTGATTAGGTGGACCATGTTGGCGTTGATTATGCTTTGTCAATTCATGCTCTGGATGGTGTGGTGGGTGGAGCAAAATAATTGGATTAGTTCCGGTTTGGAAGATTTGCTGGACGTAGATTTTGAGATTGATCTCGAATGGTGTGGAATGGGAACATTTGATTTGGAGATGGAGGATATGTTGGTGTGTGTGAGAACTGGATTGATGTTGGGATGGTTGGCGGGTGAGTGTGCAGCGCTTACTGCACAGCGACGGGGTTGGAATTGGAACTGGAATTCCCCACGCGTTGAAAGCTCCTTACGCAGTCTGTGCTTTTGGAAATGAGGGGAGAAAATAGTGTTGGCGTGAAGCGTTGGAGAGAGTTCGCTGGCTTGAAGGCATGACGCATGATGAAGCATCAATTTGAAACATGGAAACGAGAATGAGATGGAATTTGGATATGGACGGATTTACGACATTTATGATAACGAATTTGGCTACACGAAACTTATATTAGACGGACTGAACAGATACACCTGCATAACGCTTGCATACGAATTTCCTTTAGAAAGCAACAGAAAATACCCAATGGACTAGGAGTTTTAGTTCTCTTTTGTATATAGTTTGATGACACTGAAGATTGGACGATTCAGATAAATGATATTGACATTTGAGTCCAAAGATAGATGCGTTTTTCATGATTTGCTTGGAATTGGTGACCTCTATGTGCTTTCAATATAGTTACTGAGAGTCAAAAATATGAGTATGAACTACGAATGCAATGATATGGAAGTGCGTGTTTTGGATATATATCTTGGAGTGGAAACAACGCTGAAGAGTGTTCACGAAACCAGGAGAGAATAAAGTGCTTGGTACAAGTGCATCTGTCATTTGTGTGAGCTCAGAAGGTAAACCATGTGATTGAGAGCAGTCATCTTGATTACCTTTCACTGTCAATCACATTTATATTATTGCGGCATTCTGATATCACAGATTCGAATTCGGAAATTGTATCAGATAAACATTCAGTCACTGACGTTGAAGATTTCGTTGTTGTCGTTTACATTGTTACTGTCGTTTATGTTTCTTCACATGAACTCACGAGATGACAGCCATGGCCAACATCCTAAATTTCGAACTTCGCGTCAGTAAGTGAAGTTTGATAATCCATTTGGCTTAGCGTACTTTCACTTTTGGAAGTGCTGGTAGCCTTGTGAAACTATATGTTTCCCGCTTGCCGACTTCATCTTGATTTTAACCCTCTCACAACATGAATCAAGACAAGCTTTCCAGAACGCCAAGCGCTATATCGTGGTCAACCACCAAAGGCGGCGGCCGATAGGGAATTGATGATTCCTATTCATCTCCTTATCATCAAGCTTCAAGTATGGAGTCTAAAGACAATGACTGGGACGATCAAGGTGATTTCATATCGTATCTCCATAATTACCAATTTCCAGATCCAACGACTGCAATCAAGGAGAAACTAGCCACGAAGAAAACCGAACTACTTAGCTTAAGAGAAGAAGTCGAAGCCAAAGAAGAGAAGATTCGCAGTTGCGTAGAGGATTTTGACCGCAAGAAGATGGAAATGAATACAGCGGGCGCTCAATTGGCGGAGGAAACAGCATCGTTGATAGCTCCAAAGAGTGCGCACGATACACTTGTTGAAGAAATTCTGTCGCAAGATAATTACCTGGAGACCATTCGGAGAGCCAAGAGTTGCCAACAGGGACAACAAACATGGGAGCAATGTTTGGCCAGAGAAAATGGGAAATTGAAGGAGGGAGTCAAGTCTTTGCGGCAACTCGTAGAGGACAATCGTGATCACTACAAACGTGAGACTGAGAAATTAAAAAAAGATATCGATGTCCTGAAGTTTAAGCATCAAAGCCGTGAGTTATTCTGGGAGCATCCAAACCGAAACAAAGATTTAGAAGTGAAGGAACATGTTGCTGCTGCTGTGAAGGAAGCCGTGGATAAAGCATTGAGTCGTCAGAGAACAGAATTTGAAACTGCTATGAAGGAGGCCGTGGAAGAAGTATTGAGTTGTAGAAGCACAGAGCTTGATACCGTTGGGCTAGAGGTGCGAACGACTTTCGTTGAGAGTCATCGGTTGCGTAACCCAAGTTCTTTTGCCCCTACCAAAGCACTTGTTCCATATGGATCTAAATCGATTCATGATTTTGATGTTCTTGCCGACATGACTCTATACCTTGATCCTCAAATACCAGGACATCTTACCGACGGCGAATCATTTACTCGAATATATGGTATCAAATAGACCACTGCCAAAAGATTTGACAATTTTCCTAAGTTTGCAGATTTGTTGAACAAATATGCTTTAGAAAAGAGGCACTTTCCACAAACATTTGATTCCACGACCTTCTTCAAAGTCTGGTCGCGTATGGGTGTCTCTTTCGATGAGACGGACTTTGAAGGAATTGCTGCATGACTGAGAAACGCTGAAAAACGTTCAAGACGACTGTCGATCTGAATATTGCCCTTACCGAGATTGAAAGAACGCATAATAGTGAATAGAACTCAAACCTATGACAAAGTGACAAAGCGGCTTGAATCGGATCGCATGATACTACAGGAAATAGTGAAAAAGAAAGAGTTACGTGCCACATTATGCGCGCTTCCACAACAAGCTAGCTTTTCGATCCGAAGTCATCATTTAGAATGGCTGAAGAGTCCTCAAGGAAGGGAGATGTCTATCATTGAGAAGGGAGGCGAAGTCGCACATTATGCTGACGCTTTACTTGACGCTGTAATGTTTGTCCCTGAGCTGTTTGATGACAAGTGCGAAACGTCTCATGACGACGAGCTATACAAACAAACTTACCACCAATCCCCAATCGAGATTATTTCAATGGGTAGCTATGATAGCTCTAAGTCATTGATAATCGTGATCAACTGTTTCGCTCGCATCAAAGAATGGCGCACCAACCGAGATTATCTCAGGACGGATTTTGTTACAGAGTGGGAAACATGGCATATATCCATTCACAGCTGATAAGCACGAATGGCTGAGATTACCTAAGTGGAACTCTATCCTCGAGAACTAGAAAGCCTGTACCTAAAGGAGGAAAATATGAACAAGATAAAATATCAACGAATCGATCAACCTACTTTCTTAGAAGTCGACCAAATCCGACTTGGTGGAGAAGATTTGTCAAGGAAGGATGCTCATTCAGCAGCGTCTCCCATCAAGAATAAGAGTCCAACAGAAGGAAGCTCGAAGCCGGGTATGAGTCAGAGTCAATATTTTGAGGATCAGATTGATACTCCTCCCCGTAGACATTCTGGTCTTCCTCTCCAGCATATATTCCTTGATTGTAATGTACTTAAATAGGTATCCAGCGTCAAAGTATCCTCATATGAAATTCAGAGCCCGGTAGATGATGGTCGGGGACCGGGGACCGTAACTACCAGAGAAAGTTCGCTTGAAGATATGCTGAGTGCTAGTCCTGCTACTATTCCTGTTCTATATCAAAAGCCAATGCATAAAGACTGGAACAGGACAATTAGAGGTTGGAGAGGTAGAACGGCTAGAGGAGGTAGGGTATCTAGGGGAAGCAGAGAAACTAGGAGTAGGGTAAGTAAGGATGATCCATATCAGCACAATCTGAAAGTCCTGGAAACATCAGAGCTGCAGAATTCATCTAAAGTTAATACTGCTTCTTGGGAAGTTTTAGAAACACAAACCGTTGTAAATGGAAATAATCTACCTCACCATAGTCTAAAGGCGTTGGATGTATCAAAGCTGCAGGATTCACAGGAAGATCACATCTAGCCTTGGCCAATTTCGGATTCTTGTAATGATGGTTGGAATTGACATGTATCAAACGGTGATGGAGTGAAACGTTGTATTACAATTTTGCTAGCCTTGAGCTGTCACAAGACAGTGTAGTTAGATCGTAGACAAGAATCAAAATATTCAATACACAAACATGATGGATGCCCCACAAGCCATCACAAAGCTGGAGATATTGCTCTGGCTTGCCTATTGGCGATCTACAAACAGTGCTTGATTGCTTTGTCAAACTAACACTGTGTGCAAGCGATTCGCTAACATATCCATCTCTCATCTATAAAAGCATCTCTTCCTCCGTCCAGCCCGCGGCGCACAGCCCACAGAATTATCCTCAATTTTAACCAACTTAACATTCAGCGAGTTTCAAGATGAAGTCTCCCAAAATCGAATCGACATATTCCATGCCATCGAGATGTCAGACATGGCAAGCAGTTCACTTTCAACACATATCACTTCTTAATCCGGCATAAAATTTCTCCGCCACTTGTCGTTTAATACAAAATCTCTCGTCTCGTCTCTTCCATCCATCCTGCCCGCAATTACACGAAATCTTTTGACGATACCGAAATCGGCTGGATGAGTAGGAACCGATGATAACAACCGCGAGTGCGCTGTCTCTGGGTTCATTTATCAAAGGCGCGGATTGATTTCTGCGACTTCGGTCTTGGTGGCATAATCTCTCAATTTCACTTTCCTTTGTTGTCGCTTTCACAAATCGCATCACGACAGTTTGTTTATCGGTGGCTTCGACTTGATTGATGTACAATAACTAACGGCAAATTTCAATACTGTGCTTTTGCTTGGTTTCTCGATTTGAATCGCACTTCGGTCTTTACAAATTCGGGAAGGTTGGCAGATTCTCTTGTCGATATTTTATCGCATTTTCATAAAGAAGAGAACGATGCGTTTTCGAACTTTCTGAATAGAATCACGTTTGGAACATCATAAGATGGACGGAACCCGTCTCTTCTCCGAGTTGAAGGTATGACTTAACTTCTGGTTCTAACATGTGTGTTTTCTTGTATGACTTATTGTTCTTTAGGCTCGTATAATCGATCTGGAAAAGCAGCTTGAGGAGAAAGATGAGCTTTGGAAAGTTGCCAATAGCAAAATCGAGAAGCTTCGGGAGACAATATCAGTACAAATCAAACCATCAACGAACGAAACAGCACAATCTCATCAATTCGAAATCTTGAAGCTTGGCATGAAGGTGCTTGCGAAGCGGCAGGTCTTCAATTGAATTGGCAAGAAGGATACAAGAAGCTATGGTCAGCTTATTCAAATCACGCTAAGGAGCTCGAGGCTTTTAAGCAGGTTGATACTTTTGAAGGCATTTCCAATCAATTTGCTCATCTCAGAAACACCATATCAGCTCAATATCGAACAATAACACAGAAAAACGAACTCATTGCGGAAATGGACCTTATTATAAAGAAAAAAGGCCTGACTATACAGAGAACGACTTGCTAATTTCAAGTGCGGATCCCAATGCCATTCCATTATATGCGGACACCAAAGTTGCTTGTCTTGGCGGGCTTAGGTATGAAAAGAATAGAGTCTTTGCAGGTAGATCCTTCAATAGATCATAATATTGTTCCAAGTTGAAGTTTCAACTTAATTTTTTTTGCAGATATTGATGTCACCTCTAGTGTCAAGGAGGTGCAAGTGGATATCAAGGGAAGGACGATCAATGACTGTGTCATCAAGCTCTTCGTTGATCAGCTAATTCGTCTTTACGAAAAATACGATGATGTCAACGCTGCATGTCAGCGTCAGATGATTACTGAGTCACTCAAGAAACCGCTTTACGAGATAGGACTTAAGGTTCGAGCTCGCGAGATGGAGAATGCTATCGCTTCCAGAACTAATTCTGCCCCAAGAAAAGTTTCCAGAACCTGAAAACCACGCTGCACATGGTGCAGATGCATTCGCAGATGCTCAGATGATTCTTGAAACTGACTCTAAGACTGACGTTGAACGTGGAATCTCTGGAAAGCGGGGGCAATTCATGATTATATACCTTGTACCGCCAGAAACAGTCATTAATTTTGGAAGTGTGTGGAATGACTCGTATTCTCCAAAATTCACACAGCTCCTAAAACTTTATCAAGACCTGAAGATATGGCGTGATGAGGGGATCGGAATTCTAGAATTTGCCTCCCGGAGATACCATATTACACGCCTGGTCAATATAATATATCCTTCGGAAGAACTTTATAATGCGGAGGCATTTGATGCAGATGAAGCAGCAATTAAGAAATTCAATGAGCTATGGGATGCCTCTCGAGAGCTTCAGGATGAGCAAAGGAAGTTTCGTCATGAAAATAACTCTCTTTTTCGCAAAGACTTACATAGAAGAAGCTTGGAAGAAACATCTCGTGGTATCAATGCGCTTCGCTCAGCGACTCTAAATCTATCCTTTTCCATTATTCGAAGTGACTCGAAGAGAAGTTTGAAATGATTACAGATCCATCTATAGCCCGTTAGAAATCTGGCACTGTAGGATATGGTTACAACCGGCCGTTATTTAAGAAGGTGGTCTTCTGAATTAGTGCTTCTATTTCACCATGTACATTTTCAGCTTCCTGCTGTTTAATATTAAGTGGAAATTCCAAACGTTACGATGTTTCACTCACGGTAATTTATTCAGGAGACACTTAGAGTAAAATGATGATTTGAACATTTTCCGCAAAAGGGTCAAGCGAAATTGAGAAGAGCATGGTAGCTCTTGACTGTCAATGTAATGGTTCGGATGAAAGTACATAACCTAGCTCTTAAATTCATTCTTTCTCTCCTCGATTGTGAAAGCCTTTGCTGAACGTAAAACTTTGACACTTTACAGATTGTTTTCTTTTCTCAACGTTTTTTAACTTTTAACCTTCCTCCCAAACAAGAATTGCCAACTTGGTAAATTTTTGATCACGGCTAAAGGATGAAGAAACACGGCTATACCCATCACATTGAGGAACTTTTCGTTCTTGGATCTGAGATAGTTTTCCTCAAGGCTAATCAAACTCTTAGAATGGCACGATATCACCCGCCTAGAACGGGGGTTAGCAGAATAGAATATGGAGCTGGACACCTGTACAACACGTCACTCTCAGGAACTAATCTCATTGAACCGTAAATACAGAACTAATATTGGGAAGCATATACTGATAACAATCTTAAAGTTTTGTAATGAATAAGTTTGGGTCTGAGTATGCTGGAATGCACCAAAAAGCAATGAAATGACCCGGAATAGCTAGTTACCCATGGCCAACTGGAGAGAACAATTCTACTATGATAACCTTTCTCTTCAGGTAGAGGTTGGCCCTGAATCTTGCTGAGTCTTTCTGTTCACTGGGACTTCTGGTTCACAATGTGACAGTCCTTACTCTCGACCGTATCCCACGTGTTCTTACCACCCCTGATAATTTTGCCTAGTTATGAAACATACCATTGATGAAAGACAGAAGCAAGTCTTTTTAGTGTCACTCTGTTGGAAACTGTACATTGGATATGCTGTTACGAGTTCTGTTTCCAAATATATATATATACTAGTCTAGCCTAATCATTTATTTTCTACCTACCGTACCTGAATAGAACACGTGAATCTCGCTTAATTCCACATATAGATGCCCCTGGACTTTTGAATAATACTGTCATATTACACGTCTTTGGGTGTTACATACACAATTGGAAAGGTCGGGAGTTGGAACTAAGCTATGAAGTGTGTTTGCAGCCACAGTGACGTGTTATTTAATCGAAAGTTTGGCGGATATGTGACTCCTCTTGTATAAGCCAGCTAAGGCACAGACAAGCCATTTACCAAGGATGTGGTGCGGTCGATATAATACTGCAGCTCAAACTGTTTATGTTACTACAATGAAATTAGTCTATATGTAATTGAACGTATCTAAATACATAAAACTGTCGCTACGGCAGTTTCGAGTCGCTAGCGCTATCGTCAGTATAACCACATGACTGTCTCAAAATCTAATATCTTAGAATAAATCTTCAAATATTTGAAAGATTGATTCCATTCTCTTCGTTCATTATTGATCATAATTTCACGGACGGGCCTTCCATATCTGCGACCATAACCACTCCCTTTTTGATTTTTTTCGGTCTCTTGTCCCAAAGATTTTCCATCACATAAATAAACCAACACTACAACTATATGCACTTGTTGGCTAACGAATCAACAATGACGGACCGAAAGAATCCGATTTCCGCCCCAAGATCCAAAAAGTCCCTGCGAGCATCACTACTGAATATATCCCAGCTTACTAGTCATGAAAGTATGAATGGTATTCCCATGACATTGAATACTTTAGTGCTTGAGAAAGAGAGAGACTGTGATATGAGCGACGATACAATCGACTGGAAAAATCTATACTTGAAATCCAGACGCCAAAGTATAAAGATTCAATCTCAGCATCAACGAGAACGAGACAGACTTATCAAGGAGAAGTTAGCACTTCGTAGGGGTAACAAACTTCTTCAATCCGCATTAACCCAGTCCCGTTACAACGCCTCGAAGGTGTTGGCCGAGAGAAGTTTACTTGTAGATAAGATGTTAGGTAGTATAAAGCAGAAGTTGACTGAAGAGAAAAGATTGACCCATCTGCTCACCAATCGCTTGGATAATATAGAAATCCAGTGCAAGGAAATGTCAGCGCGAACATTGGCTGCTGATAAAGCCAAGGAACAAAGTGATAAATTTGCCAAATTAGCACGCGCTCAATTGAAACATTCGTGCGAACAATTGAGCGGAAAGGGTCATATCATTACCAATCTTAAGAAAGAAAAAGAGGAACTACAACGTACTCTTGATAACCGAAATGTTGAGCTTGTGGACCTAGATCACGTGCTTGAAGTTTACAGCGAAGTAGTCGAAGGTATTCTGAAGAGAAAAAGAGAATGGAGCAAATCACCTCATCGACGCGACAGTAAGATCATTGAAAAAGGCAACAAGGTTGCGCATGGAGGAACGTGAGTTAATCTCTTTCTTTCTCAATAAATTGAAGATCTACTTGCTAACATTTTAAAAGGTGTCTTGCAGATGCTTACCGGATCAAGTCCACTTGCGACAACGATTTGGAATGGTATGAGGAATATTACGGCACAACTCCCGATATTGTGTTGCAGTTTGAAAGCAGCGCGGCATTCAGAAGACTCGTCAATATGAGATACGAGGTCTATCGCTATAAACATAACGTTGGAAATATTGCTAATGTTTTTGAAGAGGACTTCCAAAAGCTGATGGAGAAAATTTTGGTCAAGGCTCGGGGAACTGAATCCATGCAAAGCATCCTTGTGGGAAATACGGATACAGAAACCAGACGCGTCTATTACGACCTTTGCATTATGTGGGAGGACGAAATGGCGCAAGAAATATCTGTCCCTTAATAGGGATAATAAAATTATCCGATAATGTTTATATTTGATGTACTCAACTTCATTCATATAATATATAGTATGTGCATATTTTGGTTTTCTTAGAATTGTAATGAAGACAAAGTTCATTTCATATGAATCTGTACAGGTCCTTGATTATCGAGTTTTCTTCTATTGGACAGATTATCCACTTAGTTGAAAGTAATTTCTTATGTGAATTACATGATAAGATTAGGTATGTGATTGAAATAAACATGAAACTAAGCGAATTTAGCAAGCGTATAATGTAATTCTCACATTCTTGTAATCTATCGGTCACATTACTCCAACTACCCTGCCTAGAAGGCCCAGAGAGTGAATACAAACGGTAACAGACCTGACAAGTCGAAGAGTCAAGAGGCAGATCACCAGGATAAGTATTTCACCGCATATATATCAGGTGACCGCAGTATAATATTAAGATGCGCGAGTGGCTGGGTTCTAGTCATGCATATCGAGAGTCCCAATACTTCAATTCTAGATGACTTGAATATGATCGTTATATTTTTTAACAATATTGTCTACACATCAAGTCCCTTGAGCAGACTCTGGTCCACTTTGTCATCCAGCTGGCTCAACTTGAACGACATAGTCCAGGTCTTATGTGTTGCAGTACTTGTATGTGTTTCCTGAAACTAATTAGATTCCTATTCTTCCTACAAGTCTGTATCGATGCTTGGCAGACAGTATCTCGAGTGAATCAGAACACACTTTTGAATTAGCAGTAGTGAAACTTGTAATTTTCGCTTGACTTGGTAGTACAAAAGTGATCACCCCAGTCCTTTAGAAAACATATAAACAAAATATCCATGACACACTCTCCATATATTTCGATGTTTGACTACAAATTAGAAATTACAGTCGCAAATTTACAATAGTCAACCAAGTATTACAGTTTCTTACTTTAAACTCTACATAGTCTAAAATGCCGCCTATAGACGCTCCGATAAGCACCCAGCTCACGTCTCGCAACGACGTCCCGAACCCACCCGTTGAACAGCCCCAAATCTCAGAGATCGATAAACTAAAACAAGCTAATCTTAAATTGAAAACGGAAAACAGATGGCTTCGAGTGGCAATCAGGGAGTTGGGTATAGCCAATGATATAGCTGGAGCTGAGAAAAGGTTGACCAAGATCAGGATCGGCATATTTGAGAAAATCGACGCCGAATCAAACATAGTCTACAACGACGCTCAGGATAAAGCGAGAGAGGCTTGGGTACCTCTCATTCGTGATATCGTTCAAAAGAGACAAACTTTCGATACAACACGCTTATGGAAAGATCGAGAGGTAGCCTCCACCCCCTACGAAGAGTTTTATGAGAAAAGCTAATAGCCTTTTTAGGAATATGAATCTGCGATTGCATCATGGCAAATGAATCACACCAGACGAGACGACCTTGAGGTAATCATTTGCTACAAAGTGCTCGGAGATCAATTTTCGAAGCTCGATATACGATCAGAAGCTTTAGCAAAAGCAGTGAATGACATCACTTCTGAGAATTCTCAGCTTTCGGCCGAGAACACGAAGCTAAAGCGTCACAGCATCGAGCAAGAAAAAAAGTTGAAGGTGCAAGCTAGTGTTCTTTCAAGCTTACAGGAACGAGAAAAGAACCAAGTGATCTCGATTGTTGGGATGAAAAGTAAGCATGAAAGAGAGATGAAGGAACAAGGTGAAGTTATCGCAAGCTTGAAAGAAAAGGAGAAATTATCAGTGGCCGAGTTAACTAGTGACTATGCGGCAAAGGCGAAGGAACAAAAATCTGTTATCGCCAATCTCGAACAGAGAACCAAGACCTTGGAAGCTACAGTCAAAAAGACCCATAAGAAGTTGGCAGAACAGAGCATCATTATTGCCAACCTTGAAGAGAAAGAAAAATCTGCGGCAGCCCAGAAGAAGACAGAATATGAGCAGCAGCTAAAGGAACAAGAAAGCATAATCGCCAAGCTCCAACAAGAAAAGTTAGCTTCAACTGCTGAGATGCAGAGAGTAGGTCGTGAACTAGCTGCGCATCGTGAAGTTTCTGTCAGCATCTTGAACCGAAAGAGAGAGCTGACAAAGCCACATGAGATTCGGGATGACCATGTTATTGAGACAGGAAATATCTCAGCACATGGTGGAACGTAAGTGAAATTTGTGCTAATGGCTAATGGTCTCACTTGCTAATATTCATGTAGTTGTCTAGCCGACGTTTTTCGAATCAAATCCAATCCTGATATCAATGAGCAAGCATGGTTCCAAGAGACATATGGTGTATCTATAGACACGGTGGAGAGATATGGAGAAAGTGCAGCGTTTGTGAAGCTTATAAATATGCGTTATGAATTGTACAGGTGCGGCGCAGAAAACCGGGCTGTTGACACAGAATTTGAAGAGGGATTTCAGAAACTACTCGCTGGAAGTCTGGAGAAATATTCAAAAGTAACGCCAGAGTCAATTGATAGGTTTTTGTTAGAAAGTAAGAGCGGAAGAGAAATGTTCCAGAAGCTATGTAGTATCTGGGATATTGCAAGAGTTTGCCAAAGAAAGCAGTTCCGAGAGAGCAGAGATCCGTAAGTACCCTGATATTTATACATGCAATATTTTACTAATTCATTGAAGGAAAAAGAAATCCATCTTTGGAGGAAGCTTCAAAAGCGTGAAATCTAATGCTTCGGTTTGGACAACAGAGACTCAGAAGAGAAGCAAACTCGACCAAATCGAGGAATATGGCAAAGATTTCCTCTCCTCTGCGAAAGATGCTTTGCCCTGGACTAAGCATTAAGATCAAACGCTAGGCACAAACGGAGATCTTAATAATGCAGACTGAATTCGCGAACTATTAGTTTTACATTTCTGTGGTGTATCTGTTCTGTTACTAGCATAATGACCATTTTCAGAGGGGCCATATCACAATGCATCTACACATTTCTGTCTCTACCACTTTGTTTATCAGTCAAATCAAATACTTCAACTACCTACCTTTGAATTCAAATTCGCTCATCAATAATATAATCCGAGTGAAGTGACGTCACGAAGAGACATATATGCTTAATCTGGTATCTTCTCTATATAGTATAATCTTTACGAAGGGACTAGGTAGTACTTGGAGGTCTGTCACTTCTATCAATTAACTTTTGGATCAATAATACTGCTGTAATAACATTAATAGATAAATCGTCAATTGATGAAAAACCAATACATGCTAGTTGGTACTTGAGCACGAAAGAGAAACAACTATCGATCAAATAATATGTGAGATTGGATTTTCCAAGTCCGTCTTGTCTGTGAGAATGTTTACTAAGGTTTGGGGCTGTATATTTCAACATTTTGCCTAAGTAGATTTCTCTGATGTCGTAGTTGTTTGCTAAGACTTGCATACAGCCTGAGCTAAAAATGGGGTTTGCACATGATGATCATTGAGTTCCCAACAATGCTCCAATCAACCTCAAGACATAATCTCAAGACATAATCTTTAGGTAAAAGACTCGTTAGAGAGTTCAGATGATATTGCTCGGATCCTCATTTGATTTATCGTTAAGTGTAGCTTTGTGACCATAACTTCTTTTTGTTTCACTTGGGATTAATCTCTCAAAACATATATCCACTGTATTAGATTGGTGAATAATGAAGATTAATAATTAATTAGCTTGGATTAACTTAGTATACTGATATCAAAGCAAGATTTTCAAAAAGTAGAAGAAAGATCGAATGTATATAATGACAATTTTGGTATATTCCTACAAGCACAACTCTAGATCTATTTTAATTATATACGAGCCGTTGTTCAATCTCTCAAGAGTCTGCAGTATGACTTGAAATGGCTAGTGTCTATCTCTTATAGATTGATATCATAGGACATCATAGTTGATATTTGAATATGTCAATTTTCCCATATCTACAGTACACACTTTATGTGAATAAACATCGCTTATCAGAATTAGTGTGGACAAAAAGACTAGGCACATTCTCGGTTAACAGGAGCTGTATCGAGATCATCAACTGCAGTAGGGGCACATCATTTAGGAGACGCTTTCTCTGGAATATCAATCAACTTCTCAACAACATCTTTTGATAATCTGATCTTCTATTATTTTCGACATCATCAAAAACTCAGAAACCATCTTCATTCCATAGATTTTTTTGACAAACTCAAAATGGGCAAACGAAACAACAAGAATGGCAGTCAGAAAATGGCTGGCAATGCTACCAATAACGACACCGAATTAGCTTGCACCCAGAAGACACCTGTCAAGGAGACAACTTCAGGGAGCACAACTGCTAATGAGACACCTGTCATGGATAATCCAATGGAATTGATCCAGAAACTACAAACTTGTTTCCAGAGTCAAGAAACGGATTCGAATGCATTGCGAAGTAAAATACAACGTCTAGAGGACAACCTCAAGGATACACAGGGTACACTCATAAATACACGTGAACAATCACAAGCCGACGTTTCTGGATTAAACCTTATCATCAAAAATCTCGAGTCAACTTCAGAGAGCCTACGAGAAGAATTACAGAACAAAACTCAAGCTTATGCAGAGCTTGAGGAAGAATATGGAGATGACGTCTTGAATTATGAGGGTGGGATCAAGGCATCGAAGATAGAGAAGGAGAAGCTACAAGCAACAGTGAAGGAGCTCAAGTCTGTCATACAAGCTGGATGTATCACCACAGAAGTATTGAAACGAGATTTTGACAAGGAACGATTGACCCATCGAAGCGAGGTGGATAGCCTAAAAGCAACGATACTCGAACTGCAGCAAAACAACATGTCTAAAGATATTGAAGCAAAACCGGAGCCTTCAAACGTCGACAAATGTATTTCAAGTGCTCCTACAGACAAAGTGGATACCGATTGTGAGAACTGTGTATTACAATCAGCTCAAATAAAAGATATGAACGTAGATCTAGCCGTTCAATCTCGGTCACCGACTCGAAGCGATATTGGCATTTTACAGGGACTTCGCGTGAACAAAGTTAGCGACATAAGGGTATTCGTGACGGTTTTAACTCCAATGCAGCTTAAAAGGAAACAAGATTGGGAAAATTCTCTGCTCGAGATGGCGGAAGGCAGGTTATCATGTCAAAACAACGGTCTATTGGTGAGTCTTCCAATGTATGAGAAGAACATAATGGCATGAATACTGATGTCGCTCTATAGGACTACGGAGCTCTTGTCAAAAAGTGGCAGGCTTCATATTCATACCTGGAAAACCTTGAAATCTCGCAAGTTCTTTACTGCGAGTCTCAGTTTCGAATTGAATTTATTCGGGAGAAGGACGAAGATATCATAAGTCTCAGAAATCAGTTATCAATGCAGAGAATAGAAACGATGAATTGCCAGGAAAAGTTAATAGCATCTCATGGCAAGGTAATAAATGGTATGAAAGAAGCAGCGAATATCAAGGGCACAGAAGAAAACATTAAGCAAAACAAGCTTAAAGAAGCCCACCAGAAAGCTATTGACTCCCTTAATGTGAGTCACAAAGCTCAAATCACGAAACTCGAGGCCGATCTCCAAGCTCTGAATACAAGTTGCGAAACTCGAATCATGGAACTCGAGAAGGAACATCTTCCGTATCGTGATCTTGCTGAACGTATTCTGGCTCGCGAGTTTGAATGGTGCAAACATCCTAGAGCACGTAACGAGGAGATTATAGATCAGGGAAATCTTGCTGCACATGGGGGAAAGTAAGTTTGCATCTTTTATTCTAGCACCATCCATATGAGAATGTCGGCTAATGATCCTGCGTACGTAGCTGTCGTGCTGTATTGAGAAGGACAGAACTAAATCCAAACGATGGAGACAACGAATGGTTTAGGCTCTGGTACGGTATTAGCATTGAAGCCTTCGCCGAGAACAAGGACTCCCCAAGAATAAAAAAGCTTCTTGACATGCGATATGAAATGAAGAAGTTCAAGGCTGTTCAGCTTTCCGATACAGCTTTTGAGCGGAATTTTCAAGAAATCATGAGGGCGGTCGAAGGAATGGAAGAGTGCCAACTGCCTACGTCCTCTAAAAGTCATGGTGATGGAGATGAGAATGTAGATTCTACCTCGGATCCTATCTTCTTGTCAATGTGTTCTGAATACGATGAAGCTGCAGAATACGAGAAGAGGCGCCGAAAATCGGATTGGTAAGTCAGAAGTTCATTATCTTCACACACTTAATGCTAATTACCTGTAGGAAACTCGGACATAACGGTCAGGTCGTGGGGCATTCGATTGTTGACCGAACAAGTTATTAGAATGAAAGAACCAAACATAATTACAAATAGAATGAAGCTCACAGTCTTTATTATGAATTTTTTTTAAGTGCAAACTACGAAAACAGCTGGCGTATTCTACTTGCGATAGAGGCTTTGAAGGCGAAGAAATTCCAAACTCAACGATAGAAAAAGTTTTGGGCACTCCCAAGCCCCCGGCCATTCAATATGACAGATTGAGACGTCATCTTCCCTGGTTTATAAGTATAAATTCCGTAGGATTCGCGAAGCAATGCGGAAATATCAGAAGAGAGGCGTAGTTGTAAAAGAAAGTTTGGACCGTCAAATGAACCTCTGAAAGCGGGCGATATATCACAGAGATGAAGAAATTGCTTATCCGCAGGAAGCTTAAGTGGTAGATGAAATTTTGCAATGTTCCTGCAGCGAATATGACAGATAGCAAGTCAAAATTTGTAATCCTACAATCATGATTTTTACACCTACTATGCATGTATGAACAGAAGCAGAGTGACCACTCAGTCATCCAGAATACCAACTATGGATCCAACAGATTATTGAATAGAATGCTTCAGGTTTGAACCTTGGAGATGGACAGGAAAACCCAGACATTCATTCGGTTCAGAGAACAATTTTTACTATTGATAATGACAATGACAATTCTCAACAGATGACAGGGACAGAGTTGAAGTTAAGAGGGGTTCAAAAGCATCAAGGAAACTAACGAAGCTTCATAAATCACAAAACCGTAGGACACGATAGTCACTAATGTATTTATACAGTGTAGACTTTTCTTGAAGAATGATTTGTGTGTTGAAGTCTTACAAGGCTGAGTGAGAGGTCAATTCATACCCAAGTTGGTAGTTTGAGCTAATAAGGAAAGAACAAACAACGTCTATCATCTTAGTCATTCATACTCATCTAGATACTTTGTTGAAGATAGCATTTTCCTATGCAGCAATTCATCTGAGCATTACTTGCTAGTATCCTTCTGTCAGTGCCAATAAGTTATCTGTCCGTTGTTGCCTTCTTATTACCTTCCTTTATCAACAGACTTGTGACTTCAAGATAACTGTGTGTTCCTCTCAAACCTCTTAGCCCTCAATATTGCAAGTATTGCAGAATATAAACATAGCAGGATTACAACATCGAGTATGAAAGTAATATTATGGCGGCTTGAGTGTATTCGCGTCTGATACTCTTCGAAGTCATCAGAATGTTTCTGGATAGCTTCTACATTGGAAACTACATTATCCGATATTGCTGTCCGGACTACAATCTCAAGTTTACTTACAAAGAAAACAGCTCAGCTAGAGATAATTTGATCAATTCACTCAAATTCACTTTTGGCCCAATCATCTCAATAGACTCTTCACCCTTCCCACGTTATCAATTCACTTTTTTTTTGGAGGCGCGTCAAATTCAATACGTGAGTTCCTCCAACTTCACGATACCCAAGTCGCGTCACATCTGCCGTTTTGCTGCATCAAGTCTCTGACATACATCTTCAGCAAATTTGATCCAAGCAACGACACGTCCGCCTTCATCTATCCTCAGTATGAATCCTCCTGGTCAGTTACCTATTGGACCTTGTATAGGTTGCAGCACAGTGACAGATCGACTCGTCGCATCGGATAGAATCTTCCACATTATCCACAAACAAAAGTTGCGCGACAAAGACCAAAAGTTGCGCGAAACCGAAAGCAAAGTCCGCGAGTTAGAAGCCCAAGTCGAAACCCTGACGAAAGAGGCAAACCTCATGAAACCACTCCTCAAAATTGGCGCCCAGATACGAACTCACAAAGTGTCGACGGAAAAGATGAAGATGGATTCAACGCTACAGATCAGGATCGCAGGGTCTGGGGAGGAACTACTCAATATTGGCAACGCCATCGCAGACGCGCTTTTATACCAAGATATTGCTGGGAAGTATAAGCGGACGGACGTGGAAGTTTATAAACGCATGTACGCTGGGTTTCATCCCGATTTCGTCCTAGCCAGCAAGCACTGCACTCGCTTTCTCGACATACTTAGTTGGCGTCGTACTATGGCTTTCTTTTATGAGCAGCCGTATTATGAGAAGGATAAGTTTCAACACACGGTCTTTGCGCGCCAGAGCCTGAAGATGAAGGACAAGCTGAGAAGATGGTCTGGAGAGGAGTTTGAAAGATATTTCAGAACCGATGAGGATGGAGAAAGCGCATACCAAGACATGAAAGACGAATACGAGCTCGAACTGGAAAAATATCGCGATTTTGTTAGGAGAGATGGAAAGAAAGGTCTCGGAGGGTTTGTCGCGAAGCTTTGGTCAAAATGAGGAGGTAATCTGGGGAACTTGCTGGGGCTTGAGGGACATGGACTTGGACATCGAGCTAGAAGAAAGCCATTTGAGACGAAAACTGTATCAAATCATTGGGTAATGAGTAGCATGGCACTGGAGCTTGAGGAAAGTTTTTGTATGTTCTCGAACGAAAATGAAAGCTTTGTCGCCTTCTTGTCATGTAGTATGTCAACTGACTGACAAACAAGAATCTGTTGACTCTAGATATGAGATTGTGGTGGCCATATCTCTGGGCAATATTGACCTCATCGCTTGGTCAGAGGCTAGAAGGAAAATCAATATCTACCACCACTTCTGGGCAATTACTTGGCCTTCTCACATGACATTCTTCTTAGTGTGTTCTAGCTCGTGAGATAACCGATTAGAATGGTGATTTGGAAACTCTAACTTTCTTCTCAAGAACAAAGCGTCAATGCGTACCGTGTTGTTGATATCTATCGAAAGGTAATTGTTCGAGATCATTTGCTATCCCTCAATTGATGCATGCCAATTCTCTCCTAACAAGCCTAATGATGTTTGGGGAAGCAACGAATCCATAATTTCGCCGAAATTTTTAAACTATCTCCAGCCAAGCAAGTAAGTAAAGCTCTTGGCCCTGGCGAGTCCGGGCCAAGGTATTCTTTGACAGAGAGCCTCATGCGTGGCACCGGTATCGCCGTGGGGAACGTGGAGGCCAATTAAATCGCACGAAGCGGTAGAGGCCAACCCGATGCGCAGATTCTCGATCTACTCAAACTTTCTGAAATTCGTTCATTTGAAATTTAAATGCCATGTTCATGGTGATGATGGTGAAAAAAGTGGAAACAGACTTTGCGCCAAGCGGCTAAAGTGACGCGGGGCACCACGGGGTGCGGGGGAAATTCGCTGAAATGCAAGACTTGGCCAATAGCACAGCCTCAAATATGGATATAATTTTCCTACTACAAGGGTGCTCGAGGGACTTATGGTAGTTACTCCAGACATGGGGGTGTATTGACGCTGATCCCTTGGTGTTTGCGGTGCGGCGAGTCCCTCTAGATTCTAGAGACATATACTACCCACTTTTAGGTTAGCGACCCAATCACAACAATAGGTACCGGGGAAACCCCCTTTCATGTATTCATTTTGCGTGAGGATAGGAAATGTCTTGGATTTGTAACTGAAATTGGTGTAGTCAGGTATAATAGCACACGCCATCTATGTAAGGATACTTCCTGGAAACTCTTAATCAGCTAGCGCAGGCAAGAAGTGCGGGTTGTGTGTGACTAGAAGGGCCAAGGAGCATTTCACCGAAAATTTCAATGTTGGGGATATTGTGGGCATTGGGGACATCTTAAAATGGTGATAAATAGGAAAGAGAATATCCTCTTTTTTCGAAGACCAGACAGTTCGACAAGTCTCATCTGACTGATACTTCTTGCTCTCTTCTCTTTCATTATTCAATCTTTCTTTCCACATCCAAATTCATATACCATCACTTTTATCAATTCTCCCACGCAATCCTCAACCCAACTCGTGACGTCATCATGTTCGGAAAGAAAACAGAACCCGAAGTTCAAGACGTCTTAGAACAGCGTCGCCCTTCCAATGCCGAAGTAATGGGCAACCGATCGGTTGGTAATACTGGCTTGACTGGCGCCGCAGCCTTAACTGTCAGACAATCTATCTACCCCATCACCCTTGTCACAATTCTATTCTTCCTCTGGGGTTTCGCCTACGGACTCCTCGATGTCCTGAATGCAAAGTTCCAGACCGCACTCAACATTACTGCTGCCAAGGCCGGAGGCTTGCAAGGAGCATACTTCGGTGCTTACTTCATCGGTCCTCTAACATACTCCGGATGGATTGTACGAAGATTCGGGTACAGATGGACATTCATTGTCGGTCTCTGCATTTACGGTGTAGGAGCGTTGATGTTCTGGCCCTCCGCAGTCTACAGATCCTTCCCCGGTTTCTGTGGAAGTTTGTTCATTGTCGGTTCTGGACTCAGTACTCTTGAGACCTCTGCCAATCCATTCATCGCTACTTGCGGACCTCCTCGTCTTTCGGAATTCCGTCTTGAACTCTCTCAAGCGTTCCAGGCTGTCGGTTCAGTTGTCGCCCCTCTCTTGGCTTCCAGAGTCTTCTTCAAAGAAGGTGAAGGTGAAGATTTGTCAAAAGTTCAATGGACCTATCTCGGTATCGCTGCTTTCGTCTTCCTTCTCGCTGTTGTATTCTTCTTCAGCAAACTTCCAGAAATCACAGATGCAGATATGGCACTCCAAAGCGAACAATCCGCCGGTCTTACTGGATTCGAAGAGAAACCCATGCGCAGACAATACAAGCTCTTCTTCGGTGTTGCAGCTCAATTCTGTTATGTCGGTGCTCAAGTGGGTGTTGCAGCCAACTTTATCAAGTATGCTGAGGAGAGCGCTTCACTTTCTTCCGCAGTTGCTACCGATAGATTTGCTATTGCTCAAGGTCTTTTTGCAATTGGTAGATTTGCCGCCGCTGGTATGATGATGATTGTCAAGCCCCGTTATGTGCTCATGATATTCATGACTGCCATTATGGTTTTCATTTCGATTGCTATTGGTGTGAAGGGTGAGGCTGGTGTTGCTATGTTATCTATTGTTCTGTAAGTTCCCTCGTTTTCTCCCCTTATAAATTCAGCGACTAATTTAATCAGTTTCTTCGAATCTTGCATCTTCCCCACAATTTTCACCCTCGCGATTCGCGGTCTTGGTCGCCACACTAAGAGAGGTTCTTCTTGGATTGTCGCCGCCGTCTCAGGTGGTGCTCTCTTCCCCGCTCTCACTGGTCTTCTTGCCGATAAGAAGGGCTATCATATTGCCATGACCGTTCCATTGATCGGTTTCTTCGTCGCTTTCGCATTCCCAATCTACCTCAACACTGTATGCGCAAAGGAACTTGATGGATTCAGTGCCACCAAGATCGGATATGAAGGAGCAGATTTATCGGCTGAGAAGAGAGAAGACAGTA